AAGTAATGTGCATTTATGGCAAATCATTATGCGCTTTCACACCGATGCTTGATAAAAAATAAATATGAATGCAGAATTTGTAATGCTTATCGCAGATATCACATAAGAGTCACATATTTTTATACATAAAAATATAATATTTTCATAAATGAGAGAATTTTTTTACCTTAGACTTCAAATCTAGCATACATTCCTCTATTGTGTGAGACGAAAGCCATAAAACAAAATAATATCATGCAAAGTATATGTGATTTATATGTATAGTAAAGGTATAACAACTGAGCATAAAGCAAGCACGTATTAAATTCAGACAAGGTTATTTACGATTAATAAAAAATCAAAAACTCACAACAAATCCAATTTATCTCACAATAAATCTAATTAATTTGGAAAGCATATAATTTTCATTTAAAATCCCAATATTTTATTTATTAGTTTTTCCTTAAATGCTAAATGATACAAGATTTATTTGGGGCCCAAGTAAACCTTATTATGATTTTCCAAAAATGATATAATATTAAACATACATACATATTTGCCAATTAATTACTATTAAAAAATTAAAAACCAAATAAATAAACAGAATTATATGCAATAATTGACACCGTCACGAGACGAGGGTGCAAAATTATCTTCTCGCTACAAAATTTTAAAACATAATTTCCAAAAATGTAAATATTATCCTTTTCTTTTTATGCTAATTTTAACCCCAAAATGCTTAAGAATTAGTTTCTAAATAGCTCTTAGCATAAATCAAAGATATTATCTCTTATATAATTTATTTTTTGGTTTTTTTTTTTTCTTGCATGAAGAATTATTTTAGGCTCGCTTAATATTACTTATTTATCCCTAAAATTTAATTTACAATCTCATTATGTAATGAGAGTACGACCATTATATAAAAGGCTTCATAATATTTTCAAAAATAATTTTTGTTTTTATTTTTAAGTGCTCCAAGTATTAAAATTTGGTGTCATAACTAGCTACAGAAGAAAAATTTATACTTATAAATTTATTTATTTTTTTTTTCTGCATAAATTATAATTTTTTTTAACCCTTTGTAATTTTATGAATTTATTTTTTATAATAAATGTATTTTAATGATGATAAATATTATGTACATACATTGTACATACAAGTTTTTTATTACTGGTTTTATTGTGTACTGAAAATAGTTGATTATGCAATAATAAAAAAATAACCATTGTTATTTGATAATGTGAAAACTGCTTTAGGTGTTTATTAAATATTGCAAATTTTATTGCCCTCTCTGTAAATAAGTTGAAATAATTTAAAAATTATATGTTTTTAGTCAATGTGTCACATTTAAATATACATAGATATTAAATGTACATAGACGTGAGATGGTCTTTTGAGTTAAAACAAAATGCAGTGTGAGTTGCGAACACTTATGTGAATTTTAATTATTCAAATTATTTTGGTGTAGTACTATATGTATATGGAACTGTATTGGTTTAAGCCTACCCTGGACTATGTAAATTCAATTAAGGTGGTGGTATTTCAAATCCTCTAAAGTGTATTGTATTGTTAGAATCAAAGTTTACCTACATAGTTATGGCCGTCTGACTTGCAATAGATGTTTATTTTTCTTGTGCTGAAATCGGTGTCGCAAATGGTCAGAATCAATTTGCTTCAATTGTTATATGCATACGTTACGTTTATATGAAAGAAAACGTTTGGAAAGGTCTCAGTAACAACTTTTCAAGAATTCAGCAAAAATATAATTTTTATTCAAGGCTTGAAAATTGGCTATGGAAGATTTTAGATTCCAAAAATGGTTCTAAAAAGATTTAAGCGAATATCATGTGGCATATACATATGATTAAAACGGTCTCTAAATATTCTACAGTCCTTTTGTTCAGTGATGAATTTAAAAATCGCTTACATGATATTTCATTGTTATGAAGAAGGCTTTGATGTTTAAGGTCTTTTATTTTGAAGAAATTGTTACATATTTTGAAATAGGGCTGAACTTTTAATTTTGATATAAGGCCAAAATTATCTTTTCACAGTTGTTTTAATTTAATTTATCACTTCGTTTTCTGTATAATAAAAAAAATTTATTATTGTATATCACAACTAAAATTTCATTTTATAAATAATGAATTGAATTGCGTTTTCAGCAGAACACTTATTTACAAATGCACATAAAACAAATAATATAATAATAATTTTCTATTCGCCTGAATTATTTCATTTGCTATGCAACTTGCCTTATAACATACAATCTTAATAAAATCAGGATGAGAGCTACTTGCATATATTCATTTAACCCAATTTTCAATACTTACTTTAAATTATTTCTGTTCAAATCTTATGCTTGTACGTATATAATAATGTATGTCTAAAATGAAAATATTCTTCATATTATGCGAAAATTTAAATTAGGTTATGAAGCAATCAATTTCACACTATTATTATTGTTATTATTATGATAACTGTCAAATAGAACATTATTTGACAAATGGGAACATGATTTTCTTTTTATTATAAGAAATTAAATTTTTTTTTTATAAATGAAAGATAATATTTGTTTACAGAAATTATACAATATTTTCTATTTTTACATACATAATTTAAATTGCTTTGAATTGTTTGAGTAAAATGGCGACTAAATTCTGTCTTTATCTATTCCCATTTGTATGTACATCATATACATAATTATGTGCATGTTGAAATGTATAACGTATACTTATTTTACAAGTAAGTACAGTTAGATACTTATACATTTATAACAGTTTTCTTGTACAATAATGTCTGCATTATATAAGATTGGTATGTATAGTATATATAAGTATGTACTTTATAATATTTTAATAACCGCACAATTTAAGGAGAATAAATAAATCACAACAGCATATAGTCTAATTTAAGGACATTAGATGTAATTATAAAATAAAATATTAAAAAAATCTTTTTTCATTCTATAGAGAAATTACAAGAAATAATCATAACATTAGAATTTGTTATATATCCGGTTGTATAATATTTAAGGTGGCGTATTATACTTGTAATGTGAGTATACATCGAATGTATTTGAAATAAAAGGTTATATAATAACCATCTTACTTTCCATTATTTTTAATTGGTAGGATGCAGTATTAGAAAAATTGTAGATTGCCAAAAAATTTTTTTTATTTTTAAAAATAAAGAACTTTATTTTAGTAAAGTTGCCAAAAAAAAATTTTTTTCTCTTATTTTCTATCTTAATTTTGTTGCTATTTTTTTTTATATAAAAACAAAAATTGAGTTCATTTCATAAACTAAGAGGGCACATAATATTATTTTGTTCACATTCTATTCCAATTTAATAATAACAAATATGTATGTATGTGTATACAGGATTTTTCTTAATCCTTACAAGCTTTTACAGAATTACATAGTCACGTATATGCGGAGGAAATTTACAAAAAAAAAGCACTCTAATATCGCATATGATATGAATATATGAAAATATTTTTGATTTATTTATGATGGTATGGTGACCCCTTTTGCAATGTCATATTATATTTATTGCCAACTTCTTTTTGCAATGACATTTTTGTACTACATTTCTGTTCGATAATAAAAACAAAACAGAAATAACAAACGATTAACAAAAAAAAAAACAAAGAGAGAGGGTAATTATGCTCAAATATTATTATTGTGAGATTTTGAATTATAAGAGACAAATTTCTGTGACTGCTTTAGAAATTTAATTTGTTTTAAAAATTTTTTTTTTATTTTATAATTTTATGAATTCTTGAGAAAATTTATGAATTTTTAATTTCGGCAATATTATACCGAAAAATCTTTAAGGTATAATTGTTATAATTAGAATTTTGAAAGTTTTAAGTTGCATTATTATAATTCCATTCTACTGTGGGATTAAGATTAATTTATTAGCAATAATAGAAAACGTAACTTTAACGAAATCGTGAATCTGATTAACATTTAGACCTCAAATGATTTTATAGTAATGTTTTTCTGTACAGTTATTAATAATGTTGGACTTAGTAAAAATGACAACTATACAATTTACAAAATATGACAACTATACAATTTACGTATTCAGTATTGTTTAACGTACACAAACGTAATTTGTTACGTTTTTTACAAACAAATTACAAATTTAATTTAAAAACCTACTGAAAAGTAATCGAATTTTGATTTTGCTCCCCGATTAAGATTTTGATTTTGTGCTTGGCTTTGTTTATAAATTAAGGATTGTTTTACGTTGAACTTAAGAGTTACGAATTTTAAATGATTAATTATTTTTTTGAAAGAGATTTTTAATTATTTACTTTGAAAAATTAATCATTCCTAATTTAGCACTGAAAATTTGGGAGAAAATTTTCATTATAAAATCAGATAGAATAGTGGTGTCAATGAAATATATCGGTAATGGAGTTTGACACTTACCATAAGTACTCTATTCATTATTAGGAATAACGTAATTAGAAATTCTTAACTTAGTAATATAATTGAGAAAACAACACCCTTCTGTATGAGAGGGTGTTAGTAACCAATTATTATTACAGTAAATTAATTGAATTTTCTCATTATATAACATCCACTTATAGTTTTCTTTATTGCAATTTCCCTCAATTATAATATTTTTTTAAAGCCTTTCTGGTAGTACCAATTAGTACCACCAGGTACATAATTAAATTTTTTTAAAGAGTTTTTTATTTCACATTAAGTTTAAAAGTTTTTATTCAATTTATTTCCAATCAAGGAACAAAGTATATCAATTTATGTTTTTGAATATAGGTAAAAGTTATTTTAAATGTGGAATGCTTGTATACTTAAGATTTTAATGTGAATTTCGATGAGTTTACAGGAAAACTGTTATTAATTTATTATTGAAACTCAATGTTTATTAAATTAAAATTCATATATCTTTGTGTTCGAAATATTAATATTGCCGTTCCTCTATTTGAAATGAAAATAAATAAAATTCCTGTAAATAATTTGAATTTTTTTTATTTTATTTTCAGGATGACAAACAAAATCTCTCAAATGAGAATCCATCTGTAGAGAAAAAACGATATATTCATGATCCTTCCAGTAAGTATTTCTAAAACCTATTGATAACATTTTTGATTTCAATTAATATTTAAAAATTTAAAAATTAAAAATTTTTAAAGGTGATCTTTGTCGTCCACTCAATTGTAAGAAACGTGAAATTTGTTTATTGGAAGATGAATTTAGTGCTGTATGTGTTTCTAAAAAGGAACTTCATAAAAACAAGTATGCAAATTATACAAATCATTTAAAGAAAAATTTCTTACCTTGTTGTATATAAATTTAAGGGATGAAATTCTAACAAAATCAAAATATATGAAAGAAGAACTTAAACGAAAATCAAATCAAATAAAGGAAACTGCTAAAGAACAGGAAACCGGAAATTCTGATGAAAATTCAAAAGAAGATGATGTATTTTATGAGAATGATCCAAATGATAGAAATGAAGAGTTAGTATACCTGCTATATAAAATTAGAATAAATACCTTATTGTAAATTATAATTTAAAATTTCTTTATTATATTTTATCTAAGTTTTAATTCTAGTATATATTTATGTGAATATTTATGTGTATATAATGCAAATTATATTTTATAGCAATTGTAAACCATGTCCAATTGTTAAACCAGTATTCTTATGCGGAACCGACAATCGTACATATTCATCACTTTGTCGCTTAGATTATCATAATTGTATACATTCAACTTCAATTAGGATAGCATGTAAAGGATTCTGTCCTTGTAAAGGTATAAATTTATGTTACTTTAATGCATTTTATAATTCTTCATTTATTCATTTTTTTTTTTCATTTAAAATAAATTATTAATAATTTTCTAATTATATATATATATATATGAATGTGTAGATAATATGAAATTACAACGTTTGAATGCAAAACAAAATAATGTTAAACATAATAAGAAGCTTGTAATGCGTGAACAAAATAATGAATTAAAGGATATGAAATATGAGGTAATTTATTAAAATAAAATAAAATGTAATTTATTATTATTTTCAGAAAATAATTAAAATTACTAAAAAAATCGAATAAAATCATGGCAATTTTAAATAAATTAAAATTTACTGCTCACCTAATATAGTTTTTACTCTCCTATATGAAGAATGAAACTTTGTATTGGTATATCTTTTTTTCCGTCACGCCATCTATTTTCAATCACAAAATTTTTATAAATTATTTTCGAAAACTATGTTCAATTGCTCTGCGAACTGAACTACAGAGGTATGAAGACATTTTTAGCAAATTGCTCCCCACATGTTTAATTGGTTTGTGAGAAGAACAGCGATTCAACTAGTTCTACAAAAAAATTGTTTTCCTGAATGCTTTGTTAAGTGTAACTAATTGCTTTTTATTGAAAATTTTAGAAATCACTTGTTTTTTTTTTCTTTTTGCAAAATCTAACTTACATTTTAAATTAAACAGTTTAAATGTAGACCTAGAATAGAAAACAAACAGCAACCTACAAAAACATTTTCAAAATTTTTAATATTTTTCCTTCAAATAAATTAAAATTAAAAATTTGACAACATTCATAAAATGACATTATAATTGATTTGACATTTTAAAGCACTCCAAACTAATTTATGAAAAAGTATAGGTTAACCGGGGTGGTTTTTAACACGCTTGCTCGCAATTACGATTATTGACCCAGATATCTTATTACCCGGAAGTACTTGCTTTAGTATTTAAAACAATTTGAAAAACAATTTTAAAAAATTTCTACCTAAACCTAGGTATTTAGTTAAAAAATTTAATTTGTAATTTCAAAAATTACTTTTATAATAATTACTTTTATTATTTATTTTTTATATTTTTAGGATGATAACAATCAACAATTAAATCACATTGATTCACAAATTACATTTACGCCTGAGGAAATAAAATACGATAACAAACATTATAAATATTTGAAGTATAATTCATTTAAAAAGGTGAAAGCAGCAAAAAAAAAAAAATTATTATGAATTTTATTTTTATCAATTATTTTGCATAAAATTAGGATATTAGAAAATTTTGCTATACGATCGTGTCGATGATAATAAATTTTTCTGCAATTGGTGAATTTGATTTAATCTTTCAATTTTTAAATTTCAATACTTACTATTTATATGTAAGGAATATTTATTCATAGATATGTTGAGGCAGACTATAGAATTTATTAAAGTCTTAAAATTTTAAATTTTATGATTTTATTTCTTCCGATAATGAAAAGCGGCCGACTTATATTTGATGGTGTTTTAATGAAATAGCAAATTTCTAGAATAGCACAGCTTAAAAAAGCTTCCGAATGCAAAACTATGTTAAATGTTTTGTTGTGCCTAAAAATAAATTGGTTTTTAAATAAAACTCAGAGTCTCTCTGTTCTCTTGAACAAAATGATAGTGTAAATGTCATATATTTTATTTATTTAGAAACAATGAACTAATTTAGCTACTATTATTACTTATAGCTAATATTATTATTTAAAATCATTAATCCTTAATAAATCAACTAATAAATACTAACATAACAATAGAAATATTTATTAAGGCTTAAATATTTTTAGGATATGCAAGAGGATAAACATAAATCCAGAGGCTATAACGAAGTTATTGATAAAAAATCAAATAAAATACCAAATACAAATTCAAGTAAGTTTTGGGATTTATTTCTTGGCAATAAAAAATTTAATTCAATTTTACTTTTTTACCCTTTTTTTATAAAGGATATCCATCAAAATCGATTGAATGTAAACCCCAACAATTGACAGCAATTGGTAATCGACTTTTAGATTGGTTTTCAGTAATAATGGCTGATAGTAAAAAAAGACGTCAACATAGTCAAAAATCAAAAGCTCATTTTCCACCAGCATGTAAAGCAGAAGCAAAATGGATGTTTGGACATTTGGATTTAAATAATGATGGTTATTTATCATTACAAGAACTTTATGATTTAGAACATGATCAAAATGAACGTTGTATTAAACCATTTATTGATACATGCGATTTGGATAAGGTAAAAATCTTATAATAGTTAATTAATAAATAAAGATGATGAACAAGCTAAGAGTAATTATTAAATGTTTTTAATTTTTAAGGATAACACAATTAATACACGTGAATGGTGTAGATGTTTTGAAAGAACTGATCGTCCCTGTGCTGCTGTAAGAAGACGTATTTCTGGTGATTATATTGGTAAGTTTTTAAATTAATAATGTAAATTAATTTTTTAATATTGTACTAATATTAAAATTTTAATTCTAATGAACACAATATTGTCTTTTTTTAGGTGAATATGCGCCAGATTGCGATGCTCAAGGTTTTTATAAACCTACACAATGTCATAATTCAGTTGGTGTTTGCTGGTGTGTTGATAAACATGGAGTAGAGTTTGCTAATACACGTACTAGAGGAAAGCCGAATTGCGGTAAATTATTTTTCTTATTGAATTTACTTATACAAGGTTGAATAAACTAACAATTAACTTTTTTTTAAATATTTTTGGAAATATTATCCGTTCGTTAATTTATATATTGTGTAACTAAAACTGCACTTGAGTTAAACTATAATTTGAAGTTAAAGAATTTTAATTTATGGTTGTTAACTGTCAACTATTTTTTTTCTTGAATTTTTTAGCATTCTAAATTTAAACTCTTTGTAAATAACAAATTTAATTCCTTAACAATCAATTCCGTATCGATTTCATTCCTTAACACATTATTCTTCCTTTATGTCACTCATTATAATATATTTTCGATTTTTTCGATTCTGATTATTATAAACTTGACATATTTGACATATAAAATAATTTAAACAATAAAGTTAATGTTCAATAAGTGCTGTCATTTTGCTATTACTTGGAATTTCACTGATTACATACCAGATGGCATTTATAATATTTATATTAAGGCAAAACGTGAATGATTTCAAATCAATCTCAATTTTTTAATAAAAAAAAACAAAATTTAAAATATTTTTCTGGAACAAATTATAATTTATATACAAATTTTTTAACTCATTTTAGAACATCTAATTAGTAACGCAGCATCTATAACATCTGACGATGAAGATGAAGAAATTGATGATGATGACAGTACGGAAGGGAGTGCAGATCAATTATTAGTATTTTAATAAGAAAAATCACCAAAAATTTAAGGAAAAAAAAAAACAAAATATAACTTTTCGCTACGTAAAATAAAACAAAAAAAAAAAAAACAATATATTATATATATAAAATAAAAATTACAAAAAAAAAGAAAAAAAAATATAATATTAAAATTGAAAGTTAAATGCTGCTGTTATTTAATTGAATGAAAAAGAAAATAAGTGGAAAAGAGAAAAAAATTTTTAAAAATAAGGAAATTACAAAAAAAAATAAAAAAAAATTAAAAAATCTGAAAAAATCTGGCACAGTTTTTTAAGAACACCGTTAATTAAATTTACAAAAAAAAAAACAAGACAAAAATAAAAACAAAAAATTTATAAAATTTTTTTTTCTATATAAAAAAAAACAAAAATGAAAAATCGATAATTTAAATGTTAAAAGAAACTAAAAAAAAACAAAAGCAAAGAAACAAGAGTATTTTAAGCAACCGTTAAATAATTGTCACCATACTTGTTTATAATCCAATTTTTAATTTCATAAAGGTTACACATTTCATATAAAGAAATCTAAAAACATTTTGTGGAGTAAAAAAAGAATTAAATGTAATTAACAAAAATTTGTGAGCAAAAAAAACCTAAAATTTTAATATTTTCCACCATTTTGATTATTAATTTTGTTGACAAATTGACATTTCTTCCATTCTATTCCCATATTATCTATATAAAAAACGCGTCGTTTACATGTGTGATAATTTAAGGCTGTTTCCGAACGTATCGCACGTCGCACTAAAATCTAGTTTATCACATTATTTTTTTTTTTTTCGAAAAACTCTAAATTACGTAGTATCTTGTGTGTATTGAAATTATATCGCGCTTTCGCACTAGATTATCTAAAAAACCTTCGTATTTGAGACTTCAATTCTATATTCTTAAAAATAAACTCTTTTTCGAAAAAAAATTCGATTCAATTTCTAATATCGTAAAATTTCAATTTCTAATATCGTAAAATTAATTGAAAACCAAAGAGTATTTCATATAAATTTCAAATTACAATAATATTGCAATTATTTAATCAGAACAGAATCTAATAAAATTTAATATAAAAATATTTCCTAAAAAAAAATCACTTAATATAAAATATTAAATTGTTTTAAAAGTAAAACTTTTTAGGAAAGGAAATCATGCGTGTACGTCAAAAATATAAACAAAATTAATAAAAAAATGGGATATAATTTATGGGAGGGTTTTTGAAATCTTTAACAAATCTTAAAAAAATGAAAAAATATTTTTTAATTTTCTTCTGTATTTTCTGTATCAAGCATAATAATATTGTTCATTCATTAATTTATTAATTCATTCATTTATTTATTGGTTTCTTAATATATAAAACAAAAATGATTATATATATATTATATAAAATGTAAAACAATGATATTTTAAAAAATATAATTCATATTTAAATATTTTAATAACTTTTTAATTAAAATAAAGAAAAAAAACTAAAAGAAAATAATACATACGTCATATTTATATATATATACAAAAGTAAACACTCATATATTCAAGTATATTATATAACATTATGTATAATATAGATTTTTCTATATAACTATTATAAAATAATATTAAAAATGAATAACAAATCGAAGAGTCTAAAAAAATTTAATAAATAATAAAAAAAAATTAAGAATATTTATTACCTATATAAATATAAAAATTTTTTTTTTCGAAAAAAAAAAAGGCTTATGATTAAAATAACAAAAAAAAAAATGAAAAATCTAAAAAATAAAACCTAACCTTTTTGGAAAATTATTTGCAAAAAAAGAAAACAAATAGCTAAATTTAAATTAGAATTCTATATGAAAAAAAAATGCTTGATAGTTGTGTAATGGAAAAATATAAGAAACAAAATTATGTAGTAAAACAATAAATTTGTCAAAATCAAAAATTTGATAATATTCAAAACAAAAAATAAAAACAAAATGTCAAATTTCTTATATGCTGTACACTTTGGTCTTAGAACAAGCAAAACAAATAGAAAAAAAAATTCTAGCTTTTATGAAAATCATTTTGAATTCATATATTTTATTTCCATAATTATTCAATTTGTTATTCTTAATTCAATTTAATTAAATTCAAAGATTAATTTAGAAATTCTGAAATGTTCAGATTCAGTAATTTATTGCAATTAGTTTTATATAGGACGTTCTATAATAAAATAATAAAATTGACAATAAATAAAAAAATTTGTCAATAAAGGTTGAGTTCATATTCGAATACCTCACCAATTCAGGTCTTATATACATACCTAGAGCTAAATCAGGATAAACCCAAAACAAATTAGAGTTATAAACCAGTAAAAAGGTCTATTTGCAGTAAATGTCAAAACTAAAAATATGCCAGATAAAAACAAGGCAAATATATTGCCAAAATAAAAAAACAGAAATTGCTGCACTAAAGTATAGTATTAATTTTTTTGTGACAAATTCTTTTGAAGAACTTTCACAGAACTACAAATTAAAGCAAACTACTTTTTGAAAAATAAATACAAAAACGGTCTGCAAACGCGAATTGAATAATCGTACAATTACTAATTAAGTAGTTTCAATTCAAAATGTAAATTAGCAATAATTTTACAATTTCTGGCTGCAGAGTAAGTTTTAAATCTGTAAAATACGTAAACTAATATGTTGATTTTGCAAAATGATAATTTCATAATTAATATTACATATGAATTTCAAATTATGAAATTAAATGACATTGCTGACATTTTTTCTGATATTTTTGCATATAAATTTGAACAAAATACGCAAGAACCGGTTGTATGACATTTGAGATTTGAATGTTAGTTTGCATCACATTTAATGTTAAGTTGAAGTTTTTTAATTAAAAATAAATAAAAAACAATAATTTCAATTACCATATAGTTTATCTTAAAATAATTTGAATAATGAATTAAAATTCATTTTAAATCATGCATAGATGTTATTTATAATATTTATAATTATATCTGATGATTTAATAATCATCTCTTAAGTAACTACATTTTCTAAAAGTATTTTATTCAATTCATAAAAAATTTATTATTAATTTTAAATTATTGGAAAAAAAAATTTAAAAATTTGTAATAATTATAGAATGAATATTGAATTCAAATTATTTTCATAATATGTGCTTTAATATAGTATTCAAATAAATAAATATAATATATATATATATATATATATATATATATATGTATGTATGTAGAATTAAAGTGCTGCTTATAGCTGCAAAATTCATATTATAAAAACAAAAATAAACACATTAATAAAAATAAAATCTTTATATAGGCAAAATATTTATAATGGAATGAATATATGTATATATATATTATATATAAACCAATAAGTATATTTTCCATAAAATTATAATTAAAGAAATACAAAAGAGAGAAAAAAAATAATTAAAAATCATGAAAATATAACAATAATAAAGCATTTTCATCAAAAAAAAAATAAAAAGTAAAAAAAAAATATTTTCTACTATAATACTCAACTCATCATACAAGTAGTGTCTAATTTTTAATTCAGAAAAAATAAATAATAATTTTTACTATATATATTTAATGACTTAATTACATATTATATACATACATCCAATTATATAATTGCATTTAACATTAAAAAAATCAAAAACAAAAGAAAAAACCTATATAAATTTTTTTCTGTGCATAAATAATTAAAATTTTTTTCATATTATCATTTCTAACACATTTATTTGTTTTATCTGTCATAATTGTCTTTTCTATCACTCTGTTTAAACTATTCATGATCATCTTAACTATTTGGAAATGACATTGTTATGACGTTATAATGGCGTTATTATGGCGTTATTATGACGTTAATATATATATATTCCAAGGTCTACCAAAATGCTAAAGATTTATTGGCTTTATTTTATTTGTTCAACAATTCAAATTTAATTGGTAAACAAAATATAGATTGCTGATCAATTTGCATTGAGGTAAATGGCCTAACCCTAGTTTTTCAAAAAATGTTCACTTAGTGTACATTATTTTTACTATTCAATGAAAACGTTCTATTTTAAAATGGAATAGTGATAATGATAAGATGAAATGCTTTAAGAGGGTTGTAAGAAATAGCGATTTTTAGAGAACTGTTTGTTGTCACTATACGTACCGTTATAAATGTTAATATTATACCCTATGTGGTAGTATAAAAAAATATTTGACAATTTTTTAATTTTTTTCAGAATATTTTTTTTATAGCCATGTCCATATTATGAAGAAATTACGGATTCTAGCTGAAATAATAATATTCTTATGAGTTCTCTGACATTCATTGCATTTAAATTGTATAGAAATTTTTGTTATTTCCAATTCTTTATAGAATTGAAAGCTTTCGCGATAATTTTTAAATGATGTCTAAAGATATGAGATTTCATTATAGCGTATACTTATCAAACCTATAACTTGATTTCTAAAAAAGTTTTGCTAAAATATATAAACAATTTATATATTTGAAAAAATTTCTAAAACAATAGTGACAAACAAGTAAAATGAAATTGAATTGAGTATCAAAATATCGAATAAAAATAATTTTGTTCAATTACTTTTGTTTTGAATAATGTTACAATTATACTACAAAATAAATATAATCGGCGCAAATATGAACAATTTGCATGCGTGTGACATTATAAAACTGTCATATAAAATATAATTTGATTTATTTAATTTAAATTGGTTAGATTTTTTAAATTTAATAAATATTGATTGAAAACTATATTGTATATTATTATAAAAAAAAATGTGCAGTATGTAAAATATTAAATGAAAACAAAAAACAACGCAAGAAAAGAATTAAATTCTATAATGGCTATAATTAAACGATAATAAAAGAAAAAAAAATTAAATTTTAAAAAATTTAAGGCATTTATTTGGCATAAAAATTATATAATAATAAATATAACAAAAAAAAAATGAAAACATTTATATGAAATTAAATAAGGCTTATGTAAGTAACCTAATCAAAAATATGAAAACTGAAAAAATACTTCATGTAATTGTAATTTATGTGTATGTAAATATATATATATGATAATATAAGTACACACATAT